ACAAAAAGCTATGCAGTTTGGCATAGATCAGGCTCAAAAATGAAAAAAATATGATTGGCACCCTGTTCTGTGTGTTAGCTGTACCTCAGCATGGGTGAGGATGGCTTGTTTTCCCAACGCTGGCTGCCTGAAACCTCCACAAGAGCTAATGTAAATATAATGGCAAATTCAGGCCAAACACACCATGTTACATCTAAGTGAATATAGGTGAATAAGTGGGGCGCACAATGAGGTTTAACACAAGCTTAAGTTCTCCTTCCTGCTGTACGCTTACCTAACCTCAGGCTCATGCACAAGACAGCTTAATGTGAAGTTCTACGACTGAGCTAAGAGAGAAATGCCCTTTCTAACCATACTATTTCATTATTCATTTCGACGGGATTATGGCTTTCTCCAAAACGTCTAGCAGTGATCACTGTGATATGAAGTTAAATAGACCACCCACGTGAGTAAATAACACAGTTCCTATGGCCCAGTAATCTATAGCACTTTCTTTGTTGGTCTTCTTGTGCTAATACTACATTTTCTCACTTGGACCTTGTAATACCAGAGATAGGAAGAAAACCCACTACAAATATTTTCAAATATGAACTGATCAATAAACTCAGCAAAATGCTTTTATTAATTGTCATGCACTGAACTTTGCATTATACTCAGAGTATAAAGATATAACTTATTGTGTCTGCATTGTATAGTCCAATATCTCTTCTTAGCAGAGCAAAGTCCGCTTTCTGTGTTATCAGCTATGCCATGGTGTTAAGGTATTCTGAAAAGAATATGTATATTTACTACATGATAACAAATGAATTTAACTGTATACTTTGATCCTTATTTTTGTACCTTTTGTATTTTGTTTCTCTTGCCTCCAAGGCCACTATTTACAAAGGTCTTGAAAAGTCCTTTTTAAGGATTCATGAATAGTCAGAGAATATAGTTAAACTGAAAGTAATCCAGGTATATGAATTGTTTAAAAATAAAACAAAACATGGAGCCAACTTTCTGGTTTGTTTTATCACTTTCATGCTAATGTAGTTTTGCTGAAGAGCAGGATCACTCTTCAAAATGCAAAATGCAATAGAGAACTAAGCTCTGAGGATGAGTACACAGCCCTTTTGTTATTAATTTTTGTACAAAAAAATTTAAAAAAAACAAGAAAGGAAAATATATAATTAAAAAAAATTCAACATCTATCACAATTGTCCCTGCGTTTTTATATCTCACACATTATTATCTGTTAATTATTTTAATTTTCTTCACTTTATACAAAATTACCTACTTGGGCCTTGGGTCCTATTTTGACAATTGGGTTGCAGGACACCCACACATCTCTTTTCCTGTGAGCCTGTTATTATAATACTAAAAAGCCTATGTCTATATGTAATAGTAAACATGAGAGCTGTGTCTTTACCTTACCCTTAAGAACCTGACTCTTCCTCAGTTAAAGGACACATTACGTGCAGGGATTTCCAGTGACTCTGGGGCTCCACAGTGGCCGATTCTATGAGGTTCTTTTGATACAGTATACCAAAATAGGTTTTCTTTGTGTACTTTCTTTCTGTTTAGGATTTTGTAGTAAAAGCTGCAAGATCAGGCAGTAGTTTCACAGTAAAAGCCGATTTTGCTGCAGAGAGGAATC